ATGATTATTAGAAAAATTTTGGGGTAGAATGGATACGTTTTGAGTTGATTGGTTTATTACTCTTAAAGGATTTAAAAATCTAGTATGATGCGAATTCTCCGCTCCCGATGATTCAACCATGCACCTAATGTTTTTTGAACCACGTAAAATTCCGTTTATTCGCTTCATGATGTTTCAATAATTATGAATTTCATATTTTGGTTTGATACGAGATCGGTGATGTTGAATAGGTGACGATCATAAAAAATTTTTTTTGATGCGATGCGTCATGAAAGTCACAGGATTCATAAGCCACGTAAATTGGCGTTAAATACTAAACACAATTGAGCGTTGATCATTACAATATACAGTATAAATATGGGCAGTGAAATTTTATACAGTAATAAGAAAGGATTTCACATTTGATATACTTATAAAGCCGGCGGAAGTTATTTATGAAAAAAAAATAAGAAAAAGAAGGAAATTTATTTAATTGAGGGTAACGGGAATTTTACGTTGTTTAACAGATGAGAACTTTCAGGCCCTTAAAATTGCGCTTTAACATGACGGATAAATTGTTTTCTCGTAAATCCAAACACTTTAGAGTTTTATTTTCGCATAGAGCCTCACCAAGAGCTTTTAATGCGGAATCATTTAGAAGATTTTTTTTCAGGTTTATCTCGACAAGAGTCTTGTTCTTATATAAGGCTTTAGCCATTTCTTCTCCTGTCGCACTGCTTAATTCATTAAATCCTAGATTTAACTTTGTTAAAGTGGTATTCTTGTGAAGAACTTCAGCCAGAGATACTCCGGTCAAATCGCCTAGTCTATTATGGCTAAGATCTAAGTTGGTTATCGTGGTATTCTTGGGTAAAGCGTTAACTATCTCTTTTCCGACCAAATCGCCCATGTAGTTACCACCTAGGGATAGATTCATTATGGTAGCATTCTTACGTAGAGCGGTAGCCAACGCTTTTCCTACTTTATCACTCATCTGATTCCAACATAAATTTAATTCAACGAGCGTGGTATTTCCACACAGTGCTTTGGCCAGTGCTCTAATCGCACGTTCACCTAGACACGTATATCCTAAATTCAATATTTCAAGAGTTCTATTAACACATATGGTTTCCGAAAGTTCTTTGGCCGCCGTATTGCCCAGTTTGTTTCCCAACAAGTTCAAATCGATCAAGGTGCTATTCCAGCGCAAAGCTTCGGCTATTTCTACCACTGCCAAATCTTGGAAATTATTCATAGATATGTTCAGGTATTTCAGTGTCATGTTGTTGCGCAAAGCTACAGCCAATGCTTGCCCAGAAATATTTGCTAGTTGATTTTCCGACAGATTCAGAGTAATTAGTGTTGTATTTTTGCAAAGAGCTTCGACTAGTGACTTTCCCGTCAAATCATCTATTTGATTGCTGGCCAAATTCAGATTAGTCAATGCGGTGTTTTTGAGTAAGACTCTAGCCAATGCCCTTACTGCGGAATTGCCTATTTTGTTATTACTAAGGTTCAGATCGGTCAAAGTGGTGTTCGTATATAATGCATTGGCCAGTGCATGAACACCTGGTGCGCGTAATTTATTATTTCCCACATCCAAACATGTCGGTATGGTGTTTCTTTCCAAAACCCTGGCCAGTGTAATTCCGGCTGATTCTTCTAATTGTTTTTCTTGTAAATTCCATTTCTTGGCATCTTCTTTGTCTTTCAAAGTGTGTTGAGCATCACTGAGAATAATTTCCCAAATGTCAGATACTTGTACGTAATTTCCTGCTGCAGAATGCAGCCGAACCCTTTCTCGTAGGTCTTCGAGAGTGATTCCAGATGTCGATTCGTTTGAAGTAAGTATCGGTTCTTGTTCTATGTCTATGAATAATGAAATTTAATAAAATAAGTGGTGAGATTTAAATATTTTACAGTAGACCATCCTCTGCATAATGCATACCACAGTCGATGCTCATTTTGCTAAATCTACTATTACAGGAATTTACAGAAGTTTCCTGAGATTTTCTACCGAAAAATTTTAGATAATCGGAAGAACCTTTATTAAAGTGATTTAATGATTTAATGATTAACCGAATCAAATCCATAGTTTAAGAAGTGTATTTAAAAGGACGTCAACATTTTTTATCCTTACATACCCATAGACGTTTGGGAAAAGTCAAACGAACCATTTGTATCCCATGACATATATGACATGCAGCTATTTGGGGTTAATTTTGTGTCTTGAAATATTGGTTCCAACGCGACATTTTCAAGAAGATCAATAATCATTTTGATGGTAGGGCGTCGATCTGGATTATCCTCCCAGGCACTGCAATAAATATCCATATAATCTAACGGAGTTCCGCTGACTGGCATTTCTCTACTTCCATTAATAGCATCTATATAATTGATCTGAGGAACTCTTCCACTAGATATTTCCCAGAAAAGGACGCCTAAACTATAGATATCAGAAGGTTTGCCTCGTTTATAAGTAATGTGATTTTTTAAGAAACGTGGATCGCAATAAGAATCTGGTACGTTTCCTTCGGCAATTGTTCCAAGTTCCCGAGACCTTGATAGACCAAAATCCGTGATCATTAATTTACCATTATGAATCACGACGTTCTTGGAATGCTGAAATATTAAATTCACTTTTAACAAATTTTTCATTATTATCCGTTAAATAAATTTCAATTATATCCTCCGCTTACAAGATCTCGATGAACGATTTCCTTGGAATGTATGCAATGCAAACCATTTGCAATATCTTTTGCCATTTGGATCTTTCTTGGCCATTTAAGTTCGTCGAAGCGTCCTTTTTCATGCAGGTTTCGCAAATAATCGCAGAGATTTCCTTCATTGGCGTATTGAAATACTAAAAAAAATGTATTTGTCTTTTTGTCTAAAGATTCAAGATACGTACATGTTGTAAGACCTTGTGTGCATTAATTATTTATTATCATATGAATATACGTACCCTGACTAATTCCTAGAAATCTAACAATATTATCACTATGATCGACCGCGCTAATATTCTGCAACTATTATATGACGTCGATTTTTTATATGTGGAATAACGAAATCGATCAATGAATAAAAAAAATAAAAATATAAATACCTCTGCCACAAACACCTTATAAAAATTCTCTATGTATGTACCATTCTTCAGGCTTTTTAGTACTACATAATTCCTTATGTCTTTTAAGTAAGCCCTCTCGGCTCTACCGAAACCCCCTTCTCCGATGAGTTTAAATTGCTCGAGCGAGTCGTGATCAATTTGTTTAATATAGCGTTCTTCAATCGCATTTAAAAGCCACCATTTATTTTTTTCATTATTTTCTAGGAAAGCCATTTTATTTTATTTTATTCTTTGCTGTGAATGAAGGACGAAGTTACTTGTAGAAAGTGGATCGATTTAAACGTAATCCGAATCACTTTTATATTTTGGATCTTTATTGTTTCCATAATAGTCAAAAGTGGATCATCCTACCTGTGTCATACCTGCTTATGGGGACTAAATGTCACCCGGAAGTTACGAATATTTTATATGGCTTGAACGTGTGACATTGCGCACAAATCGCATACGTATACGATACTTACCATATTGTATTCTAATCTTCAGATTTTTTTATCTCCTAGCATGAATTTTAAATTTTTTGAAAAACTATCCACCGATTTTACTAAACTACTTGATAACGCAAATGATTGTGATGTGATTATCGAAGTCGGCGAAGCGCCGTTAAACAAGACATACCAATTGCACTCTCTCATTCTAAAAACTCGTTGTTCGCTTGTCTCCGACGAGCAAAATGGAACAAGAGAATTCAGAAAGCCGAATATTTCCGTCAATGTCTTTGACATTATTGTAAAGTAGGTGACTCGCTCAATTATATAATTTTATCGCATAATTACTATTAAAATCTGTCAATAATTTATTGTAATTTTATAATATAATTACTATTAAAATTTATTAATAATTTATTATAATTTTGTTTTATAATTACCATTAAAATCTTTTGATAATTTATAGGTATATTTACGGCGCTGTTTTTTCATTCGATAAGTTGGAGATGCCGATGATATTCGATTTATTGGTCGCAGCTATTGAACTCAACCTCGACGAATTGACTGACTGCATCCAACCGTTTCTTGTCAAGAATCATTCCGACTGGTTGTGCCTAAATTTTTCTCGCGTTCTCCGTGTAACTTTCGGAAATTCCAAGATGAAAGAGATGAAAAAATTCTG